TATTCATATATATATATATAAAAAAAATTTCTCTGTTACAACGCTCTCGTCATCATTTCCACACCTCTTCACTCCCCTCACACACTCTGTGCGTGACAATTCAGTCCCGTCCCGCTACACAATCCTCGCTCTGCTCCAGGCGCTCGCCGTGTTCCCCCCTCCACCCCGCACACGTGGGAAAGAATCGAGTGTGCACAAGAAACGCCAACATCACAACTACCTTCTGTACTCGGGAAGCTGAAATGGTTTCGGGCCAGCTGGATGACATTAAGTCAGTCAACAGGCAGCAGAGAACGAAGCTGGGCTCAGACATGCTTCTACCAGCTCTGGAGGCTACAAGAGTTTTACCTCTGGCAATAGCAAACAGTGTTTTTGGCAGGGGTGGCATTAAAAAAAAAAAAAAAGCTTGCGGCTTAGTCACCTTGGCTGAATCAGTGCAGAGTTTGTGATTGTGAGTGCAGGAGTGGTGAAGGGGTTGCGTTTAAGCCCAACTGGCCTTCACACATAACAAAGCTTCCTACCAGATGCTAACAACAACAGCAGCAGCATGTATCTCTCTGGAGTACCCAGTAATATGCCAGGACATACCAAGGCTTCACAAAGTGTGCAAAATGCATTTGGTCAATATAAACATTTGATTAAAAAAAATAATAAATGATCAAACAAGAAACAGAATAAAATACTGGTTTTGCAACCTCGTCTGTACAAACAGTCAGGAACTTACATATTTAAAAAGAGTTTGAACCCAAAGCTCGAGTAAGATCTACCTTTTCTTTTTTTAAAATCAAAAAAAGTAAACTTGGGTTTTAAAACAGTCTTGGCCCAACACCTTTTGTTCAAGGTTTCCAAGTGCATAAATCTCCTCACTTTCCACAGCAAGCTAACCCCCGGTAGCTCCTCACACGTGTGCGTGTTCTGACAGTCCCAATGCACCCAGGAAAGCGGTTATTGCCGGTAACAGCTGCGTTCAAAACGCTGTAACATCGTCCGTATTAAATAACCCCCTGTAAAAAGACTACCTCTTCAAACCACTTTGATCAGGATACTAATGAATGGCATTAGCCTTCTTAAAGCAGCGATCAGGCACCTCTGCCCAGAGAAGCTAGTCGTTTCAGAGCTGCCTGGCAAGACAGATATTTTTGTAAGAGTTGAAATGCTCAAGAGAAGCGATTCGATGCTCGAGTTCCCAACCAGGCAGCAATCCCTTCATGTGGATTCCAGAGTGTTCAGCTGAAACAGGTTGTGGTTGGTGGGGGTGGTGAAGTAGAGCTGTTCACTGGGCGAGCGGTTGTCACAAGGGCTGTTGAGTCCCAGAGTCCTCTCAAAGTCCAGGAGCTGGCCCATGAAGTTGAAGTTTGGGGAAATGTTGGATTTTTTCCTTTTCACAAAGTCATAGGCATCGTTCAGGGACAAGTTGAGTTTTTGCATCAAGTAGGCAACAGTGACTGTTACAGACCGGCTGATGCCAGCGAGGCAGTGAACAAGGATCCCACACTTCTTGGAACGGGCCTCATCTGAAACAAGACAAGGGGAAGGGGGAGTCTATTATTCTGCACCAAAAACGCACGGCTTTGGATCAGGGCCAGGTGGCAGCTGCAAGCTCCCAGGACCAGGACAACTGCCAGAACTGGATCCCTTGCTCCTAGTGACACCATCTCATGTTCCTTTGACACCCATATCTCTCCCCAAAGGACTCCCGAGATATTCCCACCACAAGGCGAAGCTGCACATCCCCGTTCTGCACAGCAAGGCTAAGCATCTCATGTGCTTGAGAAGTATTAATCAAGCCTGGCAACGCATCCCTTGCCTAAGGAGCATCGGTACCCTCTATTCAAACAGAGAAGTAGAGTAACCCACAAAAGGCAGGTGGAGCTGGAGACAACAGCTACAGGGAGATGCTGGTGGTCAGGCATAGCACATCCACCTCAACACCAACTAACTGGGGAAGGCTGCGCACTTGATGCGAGGCTACAGCCCGGCACCATGCAAGCTATTCTCTTTTGCTGTTCTTGTCCTCCTTCCACTAGAAAGTTATCTGAATGTAGTCAAAGCCAATTTAAGCGGAGTCTGAAGTGCAGGAACTTCCCTTATTGTGAAATTGTTCTTTAGGATCGACAGAAATGCACTTCACTACAAACAAACGCTTGTGTTGGAGGAGACTCTCAGGATGAATGGTAGCGGGGAGCTATGCAGGCTGGACCAAAAAACGGCGAGAGAACAGCGACAAAATTTCCCCTCCCTTGCCACTGATTGAAAAGCACACACACACTCATTGTCTCTCGCACAGCCGGAACAGCGTGATCCCTTTATGAATTGACATCTTAGTGCTGAAAGAGGGACACGCTGCTGAGAGCGCTGAATGCACGCAAGTACCCAGCACTGCTTACTTCTGGGCAGCCCTATTTGAAGTCAGTCATTTGACTGAGAGCTTGGCGGGGAGGGAGAAGGTGGCAGGAGAAAGAGGATCCTCTGGCAAAGGCAGAGGTAAGAGATGCTCTGGCACCATGAGCGCAGAGAAGGGTAAAGATGCAGGCAGAACAAAATCCAGACCCAAGCCACAACAGGGTTTCTGCCCCAGCTTCCAACACCAGGCAAGAATTTCCAGTACAGTGGGCAATCGCCCCCCAGCATACTCAGCCCTCCCCCAGTCTCTCCCCATTCAACATTTTTCTGAGACATTTTTGCCTTTTATCTGACCTGCACTGCATTTCTTGATGTTTGGTTTTAGAGTGAGGTAATCCTCCATTTCCTGTCATTAACTGCCAAGCACAAGTGCGGTGTTCACAGAGACACCGTCTGACTACAGCAGACAGGTCCCAAGTGCCACATGCCAGCAGGGACCCTGTACCTCACCCCTGACGTTTAATACCACACTCCATGTGGGAAGCGCAGATGGGACATCAGACGGGTCCCTACTGCCACACCGAAGCAGCCACTTCTGACCACAATCGTGTTACTAGAGGACAGAAGCCGAGGGCAAAGGAGAGCGCATGGGAACCAGGGTTTCCAATGGCTGAAAAGCAGCCAAGGACCTACCACCTCTCTGCCCCATTTCAGGCCCTCCACAGCAAGGGAGCGCATGCAGCGGGGTCCAAAACGGTGGGCTAACAAAGAAGCATCGAAACAGGCTGCACAGATTTCAGTCTGAAGGTGAAAGTCCCCCTCACCAATGTTTTTAGCCAGATACGAAGCCATAAGGCTTTTAATAGTTAATGGTGGTAATGACTACCTGTGCCATTCACCCCCCACAAATCAGAACTTATTAGGCTAACAACCATCACCAGCAGACAGCGCAGGTCATGCTGAAAGTGTGCATCCCCATTCAGTTCAACAGACACTCCTCACAGAATAAGCAGCAGTCAACACTAGCCTGGGAGAAGAGATCCGCCCCCCTGTGCCCCTCCCCAGTTACACTCACTAACTCATTGTGTTGACGCTTACCTTAGGGGAAGTATCCATACAAGGAGTCAGTTATGCTAGGGTGACTTACAGCAGGATTGCAACTGGACTAGCAAATCCCCTTGGGAAAAGAACCGCCACCCCTTCCCCCAAAAAATTTTAACCACACTGGGGGCTAAGGAGTTGCTGGCACCAGTCATGTTAATGCAACTCCCATCAACACTCATTCCTCCGAGCAAAGCAGGCAAAGGAGCTCCCCACCACCTCAGTTCAGCTGTTTCACCCAAGTGCAAACCCCCATGCAAGGGCAAGAGACAGTGGGGCCGGGGCCGGCAGGGCTGGTCTTACCACTTTGCAGGTAACCCAGCTGAGGTGCTGTATGAGGGCTGAATTTTGGAAGGGGAGGCCTCCCTGAACCCAGCCAGCGTGACACGCACCGGAAGCGTCACCTCGGCAGCATGATGCTCAGCTGCTAAGCTAGCGCAGATGCTGTGCCCCAGAGAGGTGAGGCCAGAGACGAGCAACAGCCCTGGGAAGCGGCTTGCCACATTCCCAAGCAGTGAGTATGAAAAGAGATGTTCTGCCAACTACCTACCAATGAAAGCAATGGCCTCGGGAAAGAACTGCGAGAGGTTCTGGCTCCAGTGATCTGAGATGGGGATCTGCTTGTACTTGAACTCTCCATCGTGCTCAAACATGTTTGGCAGGTTGGGAGTCACATTCAGGATGTATTTAATGCCGTATTTGCCCAGGACGTCCAAGTTGGTCGAATCTTTGGCACAGCCCAGGTACAGGTAAGGTAGGATCTGAACTGGAAAGGCAGGCTGATTGTTAGGGATGGGGCTCCCGTCTGACTCCGTGGCACTGCTGGGTTCCCTGTCAGATTCGCCATCCGAGCAGTCGGAGCTTATCCGCAGCCCTCCCAGGCCAAGGACCGATGCCGGGGGAGAGTTGCTGGGCGAGGAGCTGTCAAGGTTCGTCTCGCAGTGCTCTGAATATTCAGTCTGAAACTTGTTAAAGCCACCTGGGAAGGGGGAAAGGAGAGAGGGAAGTGGAGAGGCAGAGAGAAAAAGATGGTTTATTCTTCAGAATGGGGAAATCCTTCTACCTGAACACATGTGCATGTTACTTAGCAAGTCTTTGCCAGCAAAATCTTGGTATACCTTCAACTTCACCCCAAGAACAGCATCTCCCTGTTCCCTCATCTTCCCTGGGCAGACTGTTACTGAACAAACAGGTCCCAGAAAACCAGAGTGTTTCTTAAGAAGTTCGATATTGCTTGTGATAAGTAAGGGCCAAATCACAATCACAAAGGAAACAAACATCCAAAAATAAAATCAATGGCAAGAGACAATCTTGTCTCATTTAGCTTCTCAGAAATACGGGTCTAGGGCAGTTTAGGCAAGAGCTATTATGGCACCTAGACAGAAAAGCACAAAAGTATCTGTGTCTGAAAAGATAAAGCAAGGACAACAGCCACATACCCAGCCCAGGCACTAAAACCCAATGAAATAATTCACCTTCAAGCAGGAAAAAAGCCACAAGTTTTGCCAAAGAGCGATCCTCACACCTATGTTATCACTACAAACACATTTTGCGACAGAGCAGTGTCACAGGCTCGTTCTTCACCCAAACCGCAGCAGGCTTGAGGAGGGATGGGACCCTTCATGTCTGCTCCGAAGTCATTTTCTCCAGCTCCTCAGCTCAACCACTTGGGAAGGAAGGCAGAGGCAGGGAAGCAAAAACCCCACCGATCTACCTCATTTCCAGGCAATATTAAACCTAAGCTCAGCCATCGGTATCTGACACTGACAAATGGTTTAATTAGAAAGGCCTCCTGGAAACTTTGTTAGTGGGTTCGGCGGTTGTGGCAGGGTCACTGAGCAGGACAGACAGCTCCTGCCCCCTGCCTCCCCCCCCCCCCCCCCCCCCCCCCCCCCCCCCCCCCCCCCGCCCCGCCGGACAGCGCCGAGGAGCCATTTTGGAATTTTAATTGGAAACATTTCCCACCGAGGCTCCCGGAAAAAGGCAGAGAAAGGGGCTCAGCTCCTCCCCTGCCCATCAGGGAAAGCTTAGGAGTAACTTCAAAGCTGCTCCTTCCTGCTAGGGATGAGGACAACGAGGAGAGAAGCGGGAAGACAAAGCAAAGGAGCAACGCAGCCCAT